CACGTCACCCATGGGGACCCACCAGCCCATGGATCTTCTCCCGGGGCAGAGTGTGGCCCTGGGGGGAGACCTTAGACCATGGGGACACGTCACCCACTGGGACACGTCATCCATGGGGACCCATCAGCCTATAGGTCACCTCCCAAGGCAAATCTTGGTCACGAGGACCACCAGGACACCGGAGACATGCCACCCATGCCACCTAACAGTCCATAGGTCTCCTCCCCACAGCCAGCTTGGCTATAGGGAAAACACCAGGCCTTGGAGACCCATCAGCCATGGGGACGTGTCACCCATGGGGTCCCACTAGCCCACGGTTCTCCTCCCAAGGCCAAGATTGACCACGGTGCAGACTTCAGGCCACAGGGTCTCCTTTCTAGCCACTTCCGGGGCCATCAAGTCCCTGAGCCAACGTGGCCACCACAGAAGTCCCCCCCCTCTCCAGGGCCACCCATCCCTCACCTGCTTGCTGCTCTGGGTGTTGATGAAGGTCAGGTCCTCCATGGTGAGGATGATCTTATTGGGCCCCTTCATCAGCTGGGCCTGCTGGATGCGGCGCCTGCAGGGAGGGGACACGGAAGCTGCTGAGGTGACAACCCCCTCTGGGACCCTGTACCACGCCAAGGTTCCCCCTGAGCCCCACAGCACCCCATGAGGTGGTGGCACCCACCTGATGAAGCAGGCGAGGGCAGCCCCTGCCGCGATGAGGGCGGCGATGAGGACAAACATGAGGAGGATGAAGGTGGCATCCATCCCTGTGCCAGAGAGAGGAAGGGGGTGAAGGGGTGGCATGGCCCAGAGGGGCCACCCAGGGCCTCCCATGGTGGGCCATGGTCACCTAGGAATCCAAGGCCACCTATGACTGTTTGTGGTCATGGATGCCCACCATGGTCACCTGTGGCCACCTGTGACTGCTTATGGTCATGGATGCCCACCATGGTCACCAGGGGACACCTCCGGTCACCCTTGGCCACCTACAGCCACCGATGTGCACCGAGGTCTCCCATGGCCACCCACAGCCACCCATGGCCCCTGCTTCAAGGCCAGCCCTGATGAGGACAGGGGACAGGGCAGTGACATGGAGGAAGAAGGGGATGAAGAGAGGGAGGAGGGATGAGGGGGTCAAAGGGGCGGAGAAAGGGTGGGAGACCTGTAGGGATGGACTGGTGGGGAAGGGAGGGACGGACGGACAGAGGTGGATGGATTGAGGGACAAATGGATGGGGGGGTGGATGGGAGGGTGGATGGGTGGATGGGTGGATGGATGGATGAGTGGGTGGATGGACAGATGGATGGATGGGTGGATAGGTGAATGGACAGGTGGAGGAACGTACAGACGGACAAAGGGTCAGAGGGATGGATGGATGAATGGACAGATGGATGGATGGATGGATGGATGGACAGATGGATGGACAGACAGATGGATGTGTGGGTGGATGGATGGACAGGTGGAGGAATGTACAGATGGAAGAAGGGTCAGAGGGATGGATGAATGGACAGACGGCTGGATGGATGGATAGACGGATGGAGGGAGGGACAAAGGGATTGGCAGATGGAGGAACTGATGGAGCAATGGAGGAAGGAGCAGATGGAGGAATGGACAGACAGAGGGGTGGACAGAC